GTGCATTAGAAGTGCAGCATGTTGGTGGCAGTGACTCCAAGTCACTGTCTGAGCTGCAGCTATTATTATATGACAGTGTGAGGGACAGCGACCCCTAGTGGCCACCAGGAGTACTGCAAATAGTAAACTCTATAAGAAGGACAGAGCGTTGGCGACTCTGTACGCGGTAATACTGTCACACAGCGGGTAAGACCATTTTCCACCTCCGCAGGGAGCTAATGTCACCTCCCCGCCTCTCGCTTAGCTTCCGGGACACTTTAGAAGCTTCCTGCGGACCTCTTAAGCAGTACATAACAAGGTGCCTCAGTGCCTCCATTTTTGGAAAGGCACAGCAGTCTCTCAATGGCGCGGCCTCAACGGGTCTCATGTTTGGGGTTGGGGGCTCTGTGGCTGGGTGCGGACATGTTGGAACTGAATGGAGGGGGAGGAGGCGTCACTGTGAGCAGTCCTGGTCTTTGGCTGAGGGGCTGTCGGCTGCCGGATGTCCATTTTTGGGCCGCTGACTCATCACAGACTGTAGGAACAGACTGTAAGCTCTTCTGCAGATCAGGTAGAACCAGTAGACTTGGGGGGCCATGAGAATGGCGGCTCCGAGGTTGTATTCTGCGGACAGGCTGAAGGGGACCTTGTAGAGGGGCAGTCCGACCCGCTGTCCGTATACCCAGTACATGTACGGGAAGAGCAGGAGGCGGCAGGAGAAGAACGTCACCAGCATGATGACACCATTGACCCGGTGCAGGAGCGTGTGCTGCTTCTTGTACTGCAGGGGAGACACAGAGAAGAAGATCAGCAACAATGAAATGGCTACAAATCAACTCTTAAACATTGTTTTAAAGCAAAACTCCCAGCAAGCGGCTACGAACCCACGCAAAGGGATTTCAATGTCTGCCCATCCAGTCCTGAGATTCACACAACTCTGCCACGGGGCACAGCAAGGTGACCCAACGTTTCTCTGCTACAGTGAAACAAAACAGCTTGGTCTCCCCGCCCCCAGCCTGTGATTGGACAATGAAGGAGCAGCAGACCGCACAGCTTCATTCTAGACTATGGGGTTAAAGGAGGCCGATACAAAGTCACAATCACACACTTACACTGGGAGCTCATAAATCACGGTTACAATGGGGGCCGGGGCTCGGGATGTACCCACCTGGATGAGCACTTTGCCCAGACAAACAAACGGGGTGCTGAGTTCGGCCATCAGCATGCACCCCAAGAAGAAGTCTCCTTTGCCTTCCCTCCAGAGCTGCAAGAGAAAAGAATGGCAGTCAGCTGGTCATGTGACACGTGTACGGCTATCGGATTGGTCATCAGTGATCCCATTAAATGTACTGGATGCTTTCCCTGCCCCCCTGGAGGAGGCCGGAGCCAAACTTGCTGGAGAAAGTGTATCTAAGCCCGAGAACAAAAATGTGATATGCAACCCTCAGATGTGTCTCCCCCCCCATACCTTCCAGTGCTGTTTTGGGCTTTCTTTCTTTGAATTTTATGTGCAAATCATATGTAGACATCCAGTCAGTGCTATACAGGGATATATATATATACTATGACCTCTCATATACATGTCATTGCTTTGACCAGGACTCACCACAGACACGGGGAAGCAGACGAGCACCATGAAGACATGATGAAGGACCATCAGGAACTCCTTGTGGAGATAACCCTTCAACAGCTCACAGCCCCCCGTGTGGCCCTTCACCTTATGCTTGTGCCAGTAGCAGAGGTACATGGCGTAGATGTCATAGATGAAGTAGGGAACAGCGAATCGGGTGTAGGTGGCAGCGAGCCAGTGCCTGGGAACAGAGGATCAGACCGCAGTCACCACACTATTATTATACATGGATATAGCTCTGACATATACCGCAGTGCTGTACAGAGATCACTGAGCCGGTCACATCAGTCTCTGTACAGAGGAGCTTACACTCTAATGTCCCCTCCCCCACAGTCACATTAGTCTCTGTACAGAGGAGCTTACACTCTAATGCCCCCCCCCCTGAGCGGGAGGGGGCACGGGAGGGTGTTAATCTCTTTTAAACTTATTAATTCTCACGAATAACACAGATTACAAGATGGGAGGAGGACGTTCGCCGTGAGTGGTGCGACCTAATGTGGTTAACCCTTACATGGCCAGAGTCTGGATTACCCTGTTAAAGAGGACCTGTCCTTACTTGGCCTTTAGCCATTTGGGGGCTTAAGGTAGCCACCACAGGGGCCACTCATTAGGAAAGCCCATATTGTGAAAGAAGAGCGTGTATACTTACCTTTCCCGCGTCTTCAAACCTCGCCGCTTTGTTGCTCTTCGGCCTCTGCAGGTATTTGACATTTACCTCCTACACCCTCACCACACTGTGGTTCCTCCCGCCAGATTTTACCCCCCCATTGCGGAACATTAGAATATAAAGAAATGGGCGGATGGGCCAACTTAGTTATGGTAAAATTGGTGGTTTTTAGGCCGCATCAATGGTTGTCTGTCCTCCGGGTGATGAATGATGTCACTTTGTATCTTTGTCTGGATACAATGTTGCAGCTGCAATTCCTTCTATAATGATAAAGTGAATCTAAAGCCAAAACCTTTTTTGGGGGCTCTTTTTTTTTGCATGGTTGTGTCCTATTAGGTAGCCTTTCCTGTACTTCCTGCCCCTGGACACACAACAGGAAGTTAACGAGGGGAATTTCACCGCTTAGTTGTCACTGACAATAGGTGTCCCTATCAGAAGACTTCCTCTTCCCTCCTTTTCCAGTGACAGGTGGATTCCCCATCACGTTGTGCCCCGGTGACACATAGAGAGGATGGATGTCTTATGCGGGGACACTGCCAGCAATAAAGTCCTTTCAGGGGTTCTCACTGGTCCATACTCATCCGATACTAAGGGGTCTATTCACGAAGCTGCCGAAGGATCTGGCCGTAGCTTTGGCCGATCCTTCGGTAAAAAAAGACACATCAGTTCTTCTCTCCTGGGCGGCCGGGAGAGTTTTTCTTTTTCTGTTTTTTTTTTACAGCAGCAGAGCCGTCGGACAACAGGAAACTATTGGGCGGAGCTAGCTGTCACTGCTAGCTCCGCCCAATCGTTTTCTATTTACTTTTTTTAACTTTATTCACTCTTTTTCTGTTCTGCTCGGTCCCTCTGAGGGACCGAGCAGAACAGCTGAGCCGAATGCCGCTCAGCGGCATTCGGCTATTCACTCACTGCTGTTCGGCATCTTTAAGAATAGCCCGAACAGCAGTGAGAAGCCTGCCGGAGGTTCGGCTCAGCCGATCCAGATGTTGGATCGGCTGAGTCGAACTCCTTCTGCACTTCGGGTCGGCCGAACATGCTGAGCATGTTCGGCCGCCCCGAAGCCACACGAAGCAAGCCGATGTACGGCTGATTTCAGCCGATGTACGGCTGAAATCAGCCGTACCAGCCTGAAGTGAATAGCCGAACAGTGTTCGGCTCACTTCACATCGGTTATTCACTCGGCTGCCCTCGGCAGCTTGGTGAATAGACCCCTAAATTAAAGAGATATTAATTCATTACTAAAGTGTTATAAGCCTTTTCCTGCACAAGGAGAGAAAGCAGCAGTGACCGGTCTGTATTACAGGGGCGGGCGGAGACAAGACCAGTCACCCTGCACAAGAAGAGAAAGCAGCAGTGACCGGTCTTTATTACTGGATTACTTCACAGATCTGGAAGGAATACACAGGGCTCTTGTATGAGGACGATATTTGCTGATGCCGGAATTCAGCGTTCATTCCTCTGGTGGATTCATTAGAATTGGGCAGGTTTGGTATTTTCTCTGCTTGCAGTGCTCTAATGTGACCACAAGGTGGCAGAGTGTCTCCTATGGTGGTGGTGCTGCTGCTGCTGTATGGGTAGCGCTGTGTCGCAGTGTGAGGATGGAGATTTATGTGATGTCAATGCAGAGGCCAGAAAACTCCAACTAAGCAACCACTGCAGCAGGCGATAGAAGGCCTGGGGCAGCAGCACGCCATTAACATATCTCACATGAATATCACATACATGCGGAATCCCAATATCCCTGCGAGAGATGGATACGCCACGTCCCCCATTCCTTATCAATCGGTATTTTATCTCCACCTCGGACCTTCTCCTGATCTCCTCAGTCTACACCTTGTTCACAATGATTGGCAGGCAGAAGCCGGATAACCCGATGATTATTCTGAATCTGAATTTCCATTAAAAAGTGAGAAACGTAACGCGCATACGTCAGGGGCGTAACTACAAATCATGGGGCCCCATAGCAACCTGCTGATGGGGCCCCCTGGCTATCCCTCTCTCTGGAGCAGCTGGCAGTGTCACCTGTGACAATACGTGTCACTGATCTTCCCATAGAGAACGTCTAAAATCAAGGACAGGCAGCAGGAGAGACAAACTGCATAGTCACTACTACACAGGGAGAAGAGCCGGGGGGAAAGGTTATAAATGTAATAATAAGAATAAGAATAAGAATAATTAGAGGTGCACCGAAATAGAAATTTAAAAACCGAAGCCGAAAACGTTTTTATTTTAATTTTTTCACATTTTTAAAAATATATTATTTTTAATGATTTTTTTATCAACTTTTTTATTTTTTTATATTTATTTTTATTTATTATTTTTTTATTAAATATTTTTAATTTTTTACTTTACTTTTAGGGGCTTCGGGGGAAATATTAGGGGTCTAAACAGACCCCCTATATTTCCCTTTTAAAATAGAAAAAGGGATTGAGGACACAGAGTCTTCAGAGAACACAAAGTCATCATTAAGTTTGGCTGAGATAAGTACGTAAGGGAAGGGTAAGAGTCACTTTTAGGGGGTTCTGTCACTTTTTTAAGTCAAGGGTAGAGGTGAGAAGCGTTATTTGGCCATTGGCGCGCTCAATCTCGCCCCTGACGTCAGAGACGAGCACAGAAGAGTCTTTTCTGACTAAAGCGGTATTATTTAGGGGTACCTGTTCTTAAAGGTTCCCCTTCAATATTATCATGCACATATGTATCTGTACACACTACACTAGAGTATCCCCTTAAAGGGTACCTGTCACTTGCCTACGAAAAACAAAGTCAGCCACCCAGAAGAGTGATCGTTTACCAAATGCAGTCTATTCATTCACATAGAGCTTTGCTCAGGCTTGTATGTGTGAGTGACAGGTGCTCTTTAACAGAGTTCATTCCAGTGTCGCACAATTAGCCCCCACACTTAGGCTGTGTTACACTATTATTCCCCAGGCTCCGAGCTGCTGCTTTACTTTCCCTGCACACACCTCTCCGGCTCAGAGTACATCAGATTATATGCATATTTAATGAGTCCTTATGTTCCTTGGCTT